CTCCTCTCTCTCTCTCTCTCTCTCTCTCTCTCTCTCTCTCTCTCTCTCTCTCCCTGCCATCTTAACGCAACGCCTCCATCTACTGGACGAGCAAATCCCTACAACATGGTGGTACGTATAAACATCATATGATTTTAATTGTGGTAAATTATATATAGGACTTCTTAAGATAAACTTAAGATCATCTAAGTGTACTCAACTATGCTATTTTGGGACTCCATGAATATTAACTCAAATGTGCTATTCTATCTCTGTATTTAAAAAAATTATTTAGTTACCACTTGAGTGTACTAGTGTATGAAAGATGGGTTCAAGTGTACTACAAGTGGAAACAGAGATAGTATGTTATATACTCATGTTCATGGTGGTTTCATGGATGCATCATATTCAAGGTGGTCATAATCCATCATATTCATGGTGGTTTCATGGATGCAGTGGCGCTGTAAGGGGGGAGGGGTGTTGGGGGTTAGGACGATTCTAAAGGCCCAATGGTGGGGGGGGCCGTGAATCCCCCCCGCCCTCCCCAGAACACGATTTACAGAGGAGAATGCCCAAGTATAAGCTACTACCTACTGACCTTAATGTATATCAGTCACTCCTCTCTTCCTTCTCTGCTAATCTCTCCACTGCTGAAAGGACATACTATCATAAAATTAACAATTCGTCTAACTCTCGCATGCTCTTTAAAACATTTTCCTCCCTCCTTTGTCCTCCTCCTCCCCCTCCTTCATCAACTCTAACAGCTAACGACTTTGCCACGTTCTTCATTAATAAAATTAAAACCATCAGTGCACAATTTTCCATACCACAATCTGTCAAGCACATCTTACCAGCAAACATACACTCATTCACATCCTTCTCTTCATTCTCTGAGGCAGAAGTCTCCAAGCTCATCTTTTCTAATCATCCTACTACTTGTCCACTTGATCTTATTCCATCTCATCTCCTTCAAGCCATTTCTCCTGGAGTTACCTGCACTCACTCACTGCATTAACCCATCCCATCACACTGGTGTTTTTCCCTCAGCATTTAGACAGGCTCGTATAACCCCACTACTTAAGAAACCCACCCTTAACCCATCTCTTTTAGAGAATTACAGACCGGTTTCCCTTCTTCCTTTCATTGCAAAAACACTTGAACGAGCTGTGCTCAACCAAGTCTCCGCCTTTCTCACACACAGAACAACCTCCTCAACAGCAACCAGTCTGGTTTCAGAAGTGAACATTCAACCGAGACTGCCTTGCTCTCAGTTGTTGAAGCCCCAAGACTGGCAAGAGCGGATTGCAAATCTTCAATACTTATCTTGCTGGATCTGTCCTCTGCTTTTGACACGAGTAACCACCAGATCCTCCTGTCAACCCTATTGGCAAAGGGCATTTCAGGAACTGCACACCAGTGGTTTGAGTCTTACATCTCAGATAGATCCTTCAAGGTATCTTGAAGAGGTGAGGTGTCCAAGTTGCAACATCTAACTACTGGGGTGCCTCAGGGCTCAGTTCTTGGACCACTTCTCTTCTCTGTCTACATGGCATCACTAGGTTCTGTCATTCAGAAACATGGCTTTTCATATCACTGCTATGCTGATGACACTTAACTCTACCTCTCATTCCATCCTGATGATCCAAAGATAGCTGCTCGCATCTCAGCTTGTATAACATACATTTCTTGCTGGATGAAGGACCATCACCTTCAACTCAACCTTGCCAAGACAGAACTGCTTGTGGTTCCAGCAAACCCATCGTTTCATAACAATTTCACCATCCAGTTAGGCACATCAACCATAACAGCCAGAAACCTTGGAGTTGTGATTGATGATAAGCTGAATTTCTCAGACCACATTGCTAAAACCGCCCGGTCCTGCAGATTTGCTTTATTCAACATCAAGAAGATCAAGCCCTTTCTTTCAGAATATGCTTCACAACTCCCTGTTCAACCTCTTGTTCTGTCCAGACTGAACTATTGCAATGCTTTCTTGGCAGGTCTTCCAGACAGTTCTATCAAACCTTTACAATTAATCCAGAACGCGGCAGCAAGATACATTTTTAATGAGCCGAAAAGAATGCATGTCACACCACTGTTTATGAATTTGCACTGGCTACCTATAGCTGCTCGCATAAAATTCAAGGCATTGATGTTTGTCTACAAAACCACCACTGGCTCTGCACCCCTTTACCTAAATTCATTACTTCAAACTTATGTGCCCCTAGAAGCTTGCGTTCTGCAAGTAAACGGTGCTTAATTGTGCCATCCCAAAGAGGTACAAAATCACTTTCACGGACTTTTAAATTAAATGTACCCTCCTGGTGGTCTCTGTGATTCTGTTATAAAGTTTATAGTTAGTGTTTAAAAGTCTATCCATCCATCCATCCATCTATCTGATTAACTCTAAATCCCAGATGGCGTCGCGGGGGCGTGTCGTCACGTGACCTGAGCAAGGTGTTTTCACGCTAACATGAGCGCTTGACATGAGCGCGCGGAGAGCAGAGGTCCGAGCTCAGAGCTCAGAGTGCAGGCGGACCGAGGAGAAAGACACGCTCAGTTCATCTATAGGAGGATGGAGGTGGAGAACCGACCCAACGGATTTGACTTCTCCAAACGGGACAAATTACTGAGCGCCGGTGAGTTTCTGATTCCCGTGCACAGTTATGCAGTCTCAGATGAAAATTGAGTTAAAGTTCTGAATCTTGTATTATGCATGAGGGCATAATTCAGGCAAAGTGTATTGCTTTGCTTTATTGTTTCTCAAATTATCCTTCCCAGGTTTGTTTTAAATAATATAGCCTACTTTTAGAGCTTTCTCAATGGAACATTGTGCAATGTTAATGCAATTTGTAATTTATTACCAGTGTATGGAGTAAATGTGTGTGTAATGTAATGAATGGACGTATAGAGCTGGAGTTTGGGGACAGTGAGGTATTTTAAAGCGCTGCTGAGGAATGTGTTTTATATGCACGTCCGCGAGGAATCGTAAAAGATGAACTTTTGAACTTGAGCGAATCACCCTCGAGCGCCACAAAAACACGTCGATGACAACAAACAAGCAGCTGAAGCATTTTTAATCAGTGAACATAAATCAATAGACAAAGAATAACAAATTATATATACAAATATATATATATTTGTTCATTAGTTTACACTAGTTTGTTTAGAATATTAGTAATTATAATATATTAAATATAAACTTTTTTTTGTTTAACTGGAAAAAATAGAAGTTGAATATCTTTGCTCTGTTTCCTACTAAAGCCCATATATGTTATTATGGGATGTGATGACTCCTAAAGCTTCTTTATCTTCATCTCTGATTTTTACCTTTAACATCAATGGAACTCTTCACATCTATAAAAGGTTATTTATAGTGAAAACAGGTTAAAATGTTCTTCACACTAATACAATTGGTTCTTTTTAAAGGGGTCATATGATGCGATTTCAAGTTTTCCTTTCTCTTTGGCACTGAAAGGTTCTTTTTGGAACAAAAATGGTTCTTCTATATCATCACTGTGAAAACCTCCTTTTGGAACCTTTTTTTTGTTTTTAAGAGTGTTGGAATAACACTGCAATTTACAATATAAAGACATCACTGCATATTCAGGATTGGCATCCTGGATTGACAGGATTCAGCAAATGTGATCATTTATGTGACTCGGTAAAATAATGTGATATTAGCACAGAAAGTGTATCAAACGTCCATGCTATGTAATTAACCAGTAGTTTCTGCTCCGGTAGAGTGGTCTCATGTCTTGACCCTCTGGATAGAGGTGTGTCAGATGGACGGGTAATAAGAGAATGATTTACCATTGCTGTCTGAAGAGAATGAACGATTATTGTTGGCGTAAATTATTCATGAATAATATTACACTACATTTATGGTGTACGAGCTAGTATACCTAGTTTTATTTTTTTGCAACATGAAAATGTGAATCTGTTCGAGTCAGTCACAGGTTGAAGTATTTTATTATTTTTTTAATCTTAAATTTTAAAATTTAGATGTTAAAGCATGAAGTAGATTAAGGAAACACACATACACTCTTAAGATGACCAGCTTGTTTTTAGCGCACACAAAGGTTGCCAGGACTTCCAAATTTTACAGCTGTGTTTCCTGCATGTGTTTGGCACATATATGCACACACACATTCAGCAACTGTGGACAACACAAACACACACAAACCCAACATGACGTGTTTCATTTTTACAGAACCTGAAAGTCAATAATTCAACAGTTACATTAAGTCCAGCTGATGAGTGTTGCTATAGAAACACTGGATTAGTCACTGCACATACCAGAATACAACTGTATAGTCAACAGCCTTGACCTTTCACTTCTGAGTGACCTTTCTACTCTCACTGACCTTACGGAGCGGAAAACGAGAGAAGAAGGAGATGCCAATGTGTATTGCTTTATATACATTTTATATACATATTCACTATAAAAAGTATATATTTTTTTACTTATGTATATAAATTAGACTTTAAATGTCAAGCTAAAAAAAACAAAGGGTCAAATTTCCTCCACTACTAATACAATTACTGTATGTGAAAGGGAGTGTGTGTGTGTGTGTGTTTGTGTGTGTGTGTGTGATTTGAGATTTTATCTTTAAGGTTGGTAGCACTTCCCCCACAAATAAACAAACACCCGTCATAAACACATAAAAGATAAACTTTCTGTCCTCCCCCTTACAGGGATCATAACCCCCCCTGCCCCTGGCCATTCCATGACCCCTTGTTTTGACCCTCTTGTTGCCATAGAAATCTTGACGGACATGTTGAACAGGTAGATTCATTCTGCCCCATGAGAGTTTTTGTTTTCCATTAATTTTGCTGTATAAACTGCATTTTTAAAGCATTGCATTTTGAAGGGATAGTCCAGGGAAGAATGAGAATTCTTTGAAATCTTAAGTCATTCCAAACCTGTATGCCTTTCTTTCTTCTTGGGAAGACTTATTTTGAAGAATGTTTGTAAATAAACAGCTTTGGTTTCCATTGACTTCCATTGTGTGGATGAAAATACAGTGGATGTCAGTGGGAACTGAAATGGTTTAGTTACCAACATTCTTCAAAATATCTTCTTTTGTGTTCAGCATAGGAAATGAAGTCATACATGGATATGAATGATGAAGCTATGGAAAATAAATGGATATTCAGGTTACATATCACTACTACATCTGTACAGCTCCCCTCACGATCCCTCTTTCCTTCCATCAGCCAAGTGGAACTGAAGACATCTGGGCAGCCTCATCCCTCTCTTCTGCAGGCGGGGGGTGGGGTGTTGGTATGTGTGAGTGTGCTTTTGTATGCATTTGTCCCTATACCTGTGAGTATGCATGCCATGTGACTGTGTGTGTGTTTTTGTTCTTTGTGAATACAGATCATGCAGTTTTTTAGCTTTAAACCTATTCCATTGCTTCTCATGGACTCCAATTAATGATGTAAATTGACAGTGATATATCATGATATAATGAGCCAATATTTTTTTTTGTTTTTGTTTTGAGACAATCTGCATCTGCCCAGAATATTTTCCGCTTTACAGATTCATAAAAGTCCATGTAAATTATGTATATGTGAATATTGATATATTTGTATATTAATAATAAAGCATTTCATTTCCCATAATTAAATTGTAATTTATATTTTAGATAAAATACTAATTTATTAATAATACTATCAGTATATATTTTTTTTATTAAAAACATATATTTGCTATCATTAAATTGACATTTAAATTGCATATACAATGCATGTTTATTAATATCAATATATTTAACAGTATTTATAAAACATTTTTATTTTTTCTGTTATTAAATTGATATTTAATTGTATATAAATACCCATTTTTTTAATATTAATATTGATATGTTTATATTTCCATTTGATATAATTAAATTGACATTTAAATAGTACATAAAATACACATTTTTTAATATTAATATATTTATTTTTAATAAAAAAATAATCCATTTGTCATGTAAATTATATTTACATTTACATTTTAATCAGTGAATTTAATATTTACATTTATATATAATTATAAATATAAAATGTACATTTATTAATATTAGTATCAATACATTTATTTTTTTTATAAAAAAAACATTTCCATTTGATATCATTAAACTGTCATTTAAATTGTATATAAAATGTACTTTTAGTGTTATTAATATCAATGTATTTAATTTTTTAAAAACATTTTCATTTACTATCATTAAATTATTATTTACATTTTGTATAAAATACATTTATTGAGCTTAATGTCAATATGTATTTATTATTTATAGAAAACATTAATTTGCCATCATTATATTAATATCCCTAAATTGTCATTTTATAAATATTTTCAGTGACCACAAAGTATTTGCAAACTTTAAAGGCACAAAATGCTTGAATTCCATTGCTTTAGATTGAAAATATCATATAAAGTATAGCATTTATTTTGAAAAAAAAAAACTTTTTTCTTGTTTGAATAAAAACATTTCACAAAAAGTTTACAAAACAGATATACTGATATTTCTATTATAATTTATCAATTCTTGTTGTCCAAACTTTAGCGCAACATGTGAACGCCACTTGGTTTGATATTTTTGCTATTAAATGGAATGATATTCAAACATTTTAATGTCAAAACATCTTAAGTGTCCAAAACCTTTTTAGAGCCTCTGCATGTGTATATATAACTGAAAATCACAGTTTGGTGAACCACTAAAATCAGTATTAGCCACACTATATTGCTAAAACTGAAAAAATAAAGCTAAATAAAAAAAAGCAAAGAATAATAAAAATAACAAAATTATTAAATCTAAAAATGAATACTGAACATTTAGAAATAAAATCCAATTCAAAATATAAAAAAAAAATTATTATGATATATAAATGATCCTAAAGTAACACAACAAATAAACCTAGAAAAGTACTAATTTATATAAGTCAAATCCCACAATGACTAGCATTTAGCTAATGATTTCACTTTAAAAAGATGCAAACATTATCTGAAAAAAATAAATAAATTGGTTAATCTCTTTGATTTGTTTTGAGTTTAATTACAGGAAATGTCGGAACAAAACGATTCACTAAAATGATTTTTTTTCAGTTTGAAAATCTGCAGGCACAATAGATGTGGAAATAAAAATCATATAGAGACTAGTTGTTGATAAGGACATAAATCTCATTCATCAGTTTGCAAAAATACAATCACATATTCTTATTTTTCTGTCTTAGAAAAGTTTGAATTTCTGTTGTATAAAGACCAACTTCCTAATGCCCCCTCATATTCTCTCACTCTTTCTCTCTGCAGGTTTTTATGAGGAGAACTCCCTTCAGGACGACACGGGTGAGGAAACTGTGCATGATCTCCATGCCGACACCTACTGTCTATATTGGCTCATTTCTGTGCTTTGTGTCTCAAACATTTTTTAAATCATGCAGAATAGTGAACATTATATTGTGTGGGTTTTTTTTAATATTGTGTTTTTATTTTATTAATATTATTAGAAGAGGGTTGAGAATTTGAGTCTATTGTGGCATTCTGTAATGAAACTCAAATGTAGAGGGAATTAAAAAATAGCATCCAGAATAAAAGGAGACTGCAGTACTCATCTTCACCAGTAGGGCATGTCACAGAGCTCTTCTTTTCCCTCATTCTCCAAAGCTCTGGTGAAAGTGCACCTTTTAGAGGTCGGAATAAGTTCAGGAGCTTCTGATCTTATGTTGCCAACAAATCCTTCTGTAATACATGCATGCATGCTGCTGTAAAGCTTTACAAGTCAGGGTCGAACATTGTTAGAGAAAGCACTTGATTTATGTGAGAAACCAATTAAGCCGTAAAGCGACGGAAGAGTGTTCCACACACACACACACACACACACACACACACACACACTCTCTCTCTCTCTGGTGACATCACCTTCACTCTCTGTGGCAGTGGAGTCAAAGTTAGGTCAGCAATCAGGCACAATATGCCAACAAGCAGGGATTCTAGGCATCTGATTGGCTAAAAGTATTTTGGTGATTTTGATTATTTATTTTGATTATTATTATTTTAAGAGTACTATAATACTTAAAGGAATAGTTCACACACAAAATCATCCTCAGGCCACCCTAGATGAGTTTTTCTTCATCAGAACAGATTTGGAGAAATTTAGCAGTATATAACTTGCTTACCAGTGGATCTGATGCATCCTATGCAGTGAATGGGTGCCGTCAGAATGAGAGTTCATACTCTTCATACAATAATCCACAAGTAACCCACACCACTCCAGCTTCCTCCAGTGAAAAATTCCATCCTCTCACATCAAAGTCAACAAGCATATTCGTTTAGAACAACTGTTTTTGCTTGTAAACGGTTCTTGATTTGTGCAAATTTCTCTCCTGAGAAGTTTTCTTCAAATTTCTCTTCAATAGAGTAAGCAATATTATGGATAGTGGACTCGTTTTAGATGAAAGCAATGGTTTGAATTTGAAAATGTCTTAATGTTGGATTTGTTTGTTACATGCATCTTTTCACTTCATAAGATGTTGATTGATGTGCCAGAGTAATGTGGATTATTGTGATGTTTTTAGGGCTGTCACGATTCGTCGATTTTATTAGAGTATTCAATTTTTAAAAATCATCGACTTCATTTTGCTCGTGTCGACTAACCGGCAAAATACCGGAAGTGGCACATTTCATGGATGAGAATCCATAAAACACATCATTAGACTGTTTCCCAAGGCTGCATGATATATTAAACCCATTTAATAAATCATAATTAAGCATAATTGTGAATTCACAAATGCTACGATTTAATTAAAATAATTTTATGCAATGCAGTTCTAATACAGTATATGCGCTTTAATTATTTACATGCGTGTAGGTTAAGTACGTGCGTCACACAGTGGCTCTGTTCACAGTAGTTCCACAGAAACTGTTATCATTTACATGTGGAGCGTCTCAAATTCCATCTCTGCATGTTGTGTTGAGTTTGGGTTTATTATAACGTTCATCTGGGAACGCAACGTGCGCTATTTCATCAGATTTGTAAGGTAAATAATTTATAAATCTCAGGAGAATGCATTGTGTTTTCAAAATAAAAGCTCAAACCCTCACTCTGAGTTTACACGTTTACATTCGTTTAATTACAGTGGCTATAGCATTTCTGTGCTAAAGAAATGGCCAAATATTAAAGATTAAATGGACATTTGAATTAAATGGTGCTTGGTCAATATTAAACAAGTATTAGATCGCACAGCAATGTGTAAAAATAATCATCAGGCCGTTGGCGCCCTCTGCAGTCCTTTGTTGTAATATGTAATGTACATTAGCTCTATTGTTTATAATACATTATGTATTTTAATAGTTTTGTTCAATAAAACCACATGATTTCTTGCTTTTGATACGTTATTTGAACTAATTATTATTGCCTCATTGCTATTATATATGTATTTTAAGTAATTTTAAAGGCTATTGTTCACTTACATCTATTTTTATTACCACAAAAAAATGTATTATAATTATAGGGCCCTATGAAATCCGTTTTATTTCCAAATGTTCCATTTTCATTTTTCTATACTCTGTTTTAATGGTCAAATTCTATTTTATTAATCAAAAAGCCTGTCTAATTAATTTAGTTTTATCTTTACCAAATTTTTACTTTACCATTATTTTCTGGATTCCATTTGAATGGTTCCATTAAATTTTAAAAATCAAAAGCACCTCCAATTAATTGATTTTATTAAAAAAAAAAAAAATGCATTTTTTTTTTTTTTTCAGAAGTACTGCACATTAACATTTTTCTCCTAAATAAATTCTGGTAAATAACATTTCTGGTAAATACTCCTTTAAAAAGTGTTTTTTGATTATAATTGTATTATTAGTAGACTAGAACATGTGGATATGTTGGCATTCTTACACTATAATGCTGAACTTTGATTTCAATGATTTGGACTATGAGATGGACACTTTATGTTGCACTATATTTTTGCTTTAAAAAAGGATTTCATAGAAATTAGGATTTCATTTGGTTTAATAAAATATAGTTTAATAAAATATTCTTAAGTAAAATTGTAGATTTTTTTTGTGGGAAATGAATAGTTTAGATTAATCGATAAATTAGTCGATAGGTTAATCGAAATAAAAATAGTCGTTAGTGGCTGGCTGGCAGCCATAGATGTTTTCATCAGCTGTTTGGACTCTCAATCTGACGGCACCCATTCACTGCAGAGGATCCACTGGTGAGCAAATTATGTAATGCTGAATTTCTCCAAATCTGTTCAGATGAAGAAACAAACTCATCTACATTGAATCAACTATTCAAGTCACGTAACATTTATTTATATAGTGTTTTATACAATACAGAATGTTTCAAATAAAATTGTTTTTATTCAATATTGTCAGTGCAGTTAAATCAATAATATTACTGAATATTAAAGACCCCTAGAGAGCCTTTGAATAAAAACCAAAAGTGCAGCATTGCTTACCTTATACCTTTTACACCTTCTTGTGCTTGTTGAGTGAAGGTTTGAAAGGTTTTGTCTGCAAAGTTCAGTTTTTTTTAGGTCTGAAGGTCACAAATGTAGTGTCTGAAATGTCTTACCAGACAATGTTCCATTGTTCCTACTGCAGTTTGCACTCATTGGTCAGTGAGTCGCTTACATGTTAAACCCAACGACATCAATGAATGTATATCGCAGCCGTAATAAGGAGAAAAGTGCGGTCGGTTTGCTGGGAGAGAGTTGACGTGTAGTATATGGTAATTTCAGGGCACAGCCAACGGTCGATGGTTTCTTATGCATCCAAACTCACCGACAGCGTTGAATGTTCCCAGAATGCACCAGGTGTGCCTTTGCATGTCCCAAACTCAGTGTTAAATATGATAAATCTTAGCTAGATTTGCTATTTGATTAAACACATATCCGGCTGTGTTAGATTGCACTAGGAGATTGTGTAATTATATGCTGATTTTTTTTTAGCATATAATTATTATTGTGGTTGTAATCATCTGCTATTGTATGATGTTCTTTAGTGGTATTCATTTGAATAAAAAATGGGAAAGCGTACGGAGTCATACATCATAAGCGCTCTGATTTTTTTGTCAGCTTGGAAGAAACCGAAAACAATATGGTTTTATTTCCTTTGTAAGAAATGCAAAATAAAGTTATATACAAATTTTTTTTTTGCTTGAGAATTTTCTAATGTATACTAACCTACCAAAAAGTATATTTTTGTTTTATTATTCTTCAAAAGACCCTATAAATACCTTGGTAATTGAGTGTAGTGAACCAGTGTATATAACAAGATATTGTGGTATTACCACCCTTTTCATGTGTTATGTACCATGATATTCTATCCAGTACCCTTTAAATACTATGGTAAATTGATAATAAAAACCATTCGGTAGCATGGTAAATATCAAAGTTCTATGGTTTTAGTATGTTATTTGATTCTGTACAGTTTTCTCTAAAATAAATAATATTATTTGAAATAACTTGGTACATGAATAAAGCAATCAGTACCATGGTATTTATTAAAATACTCTGGTATTACCATGTTTTTTAATATGTACCATGATATTCTTTGGACTACCCTTTAAATACTACAGTGCATGATAACCATTCAGTACTATTGTATGTATAAAAAGTACCATGGTATTAGAATTTAAAGTTTTTACATTTATGTACCATGGTATATATCAAAATACAATGGTATTACCATGAGTTTTTAAAAGTATCATGAGTATCCTACAAATGTCATGGTATTACTATTTACTTTATGTACCATGGTATTTATTGAAATATATATTTATACCAATCAGTGCCATGGTATATATCAAAATACTGTGGTATTACAGCGTTGTTTAAAATTGTTTTCATATATATATATATATATAT